AATGATTTGAACCAAGACATTCTGTTGTATGTACAAATGTGGATTATTTGAAACAAGACATTCGGTTGTGTGTACAAATGTTGATGATTTGAAACAAGACATTCGGTTGTGTGTACAAATGTGGATGATTTGAAACAAAACATTCTGTTGTATGTACAAATGTGGATTATTTGAAACAAGACATTTGGTTGTATGTACAAATGTGGATGATTTGAGCCAATGGTATTTAATATTACAGGTATGTAACAATAATGTGGATGATTTTGTTTGTTCTAAATTATTTCAAGCAATGAGATATGGGCTGATTACAACTACTGCAATATGATTACAGTATTATTTATTTGCATAAATTTCAGGTAGTGGTAGTGACAATACGTGGCATACTGTGAATGGCTCATATTTGAGTATTGGTCTGTTCATAGTACCTGGTATTTGTAACATTGTACCTAACTATGGATTATCACCATACACTCATATAGCTGATAGTAATGCTGATCTAGTGGTTGTACAAACTACTACTAAGACTAATTTTTTACATCATCTCAGAAAATACAATACTAACAAAGATCCTGTAAGTAGAGTATCATTTATTTTAATAATTTATTTCACATTTGTTTGTATAGCGTTCGTGACGCGATTTCCGTTACTGCCTGAGTGCATACTTTGTGGTATTCTCATGATAACCTCATTATTATAAATCTTTTTTTGCTTGTAGTGATAATTTATGAGATTTTAGACCGAAATGACAACAAAAAACCATTTGTACTAAGTGAATGTTTGCATGAGTGGCTGAATTCTGTTTTCATTACACACTATAGCACTTCTGTAAATTAAGGAAATTGTTCAAATGTGAAAACAACCTGGTTATATTGGTGATGTTGTTTACAAAGAAAAATTTGGGCGTTTGAATGAGTGCTAATTGTCGGTAGACAAATTCTATTTTTGGTGGTAGATGTACAATAATATGAGGTTATTACGATGATACCAAAAAATTATGCGTGAAGACTGTCTGAGTGCATACTTTGAGGTATCCTCGTAAGAATCTTTATAGTATTATACATCTTTTCCTACCAAGGATACATCATGGTAATGCCGAAATCCAAAAAGTTTAGAACAGAATCAGTGAACTTTGTGTGAAGTCCGGTCAAACCCTGGTTTTTATTATGAGAGCATGCTTACGCGCATAATTGGAATTCGCATTTCCTAATATGGTAGGATGAAAATACCCAGTAAAATACCGCAAAATTATGGCACGGTGTAACTTATGGCGTTACGATGACAGATGTATAATAATACAAAGTACCAGGATGTGTCATGTATTTTTTGTTGCAGTTTGATTTCCCTTTTATTAATGTATACCGAGTGAAAGCAGTGCGCATTTCAAGCAGCTCACCTGTTGATTGGTCAATTGATGGTCATGTGATACAGAAAAACAACATAGAAATCCGGTAGGAATAGAATACATGTTACTTTATACAGAACACTTGATTGCAAAGTGTATTGGGTAATCTGTATGCAGATTTGAATACATTTCATAGTTAACCTTTTTACCACCAGTTCCCTCTTTTCATCACTAATAGTCCCGTTTATAGTCTGCACTTTCCTTCAGAAGTTGGGACAAAAATAAACAAATTATTCAAGTAAAAACTAAAAATTGATTCAAATTTTGTCTGTTGGCTCAACAAATTTGGGTTCATTTTCAGAAATATTGAAGTATATAAAAATATATGCAGAAAAATTTGGGTGAAAATATTAAACTTGTATTCTGCATCAACATTTCTATATGTTGGTACACACTATCATATTAATCACGGTAAGCAATTTATTTATCTGTTCTATTTCAGAGCACATCATCAGTTATTAGCAGTGTTTAGCAGTGGTATATCACAGACAAGACATGTCACACAGGATGTTTCCACTTAGTATGCTTCTAGTTATGTGACTATTTCTTTTTTTAAATCAACAATACTTCATTTCACATTTCTCCATAAAATGGTAATAGACTTGAATATATATTTTTATTTATGTACCCAGTAAATATTTGCAGCTTTGCGTGCACCTGTTTTTTTATTTTTCAAAAACTTGTAAGAGAGTTTTGTAAATTTAGTACGGCATATAAAGTGAAAAAATGTTTTATTTCTAGAATTTATTTTATTTATGAATTTTCCTTAAAATTGAGGTGATAATAGAATGAAGTTGTGATGCATGGTGTAATTCTGAACAACTCTCCATCCATGACAAACCAAATACTGTATTTGCTCTATTTGAAGCACATCTCTAAAAGTACAAAAAAAAGATGCCAGATCAATAAAATATGACCTATATAGAACATGCTAATAGACCAAATACAGTTTGAGATTTATATACATAATCACAATTTGTTGATTCAAAATAGATGCAAATAAATGAGACAACTGATATAGTAATTTATTTATTTCTGACAAGTATAACAAAAACAGTACTTCCAATCATTGATAAGTTATATTTAACAAAAGTTTTAATTTTGCAATGTGATAAAATAAAAGTTTAGTAATGGTCTCTGCAACAAAATGGGTGTGGGCAATATAATCTTTTGACCTGAGTTTGGGTATTAAAGGCAGTCGTTTAGCTTTGACCTGAGTTTGGGTATTAAAGGCAGTCGTTTAGCTTTGACCTGAGTTTGGGTATTAAAGGCAGTCGTTTAGCTTGCTGAACAATGAAAAACCTAAACCTATTTGTTGCTATTCTATTGCTATTTACTTCAATATGGTTGCATCTTCATGACAAACATAACTTATTTCCAGTTACTGTAATTAATCAGATGAAGCACTTGAACAAATGTACTGTCAAATGGGTTTGGTTTACTACATGGCAGTTTGTTTTCAAAAATATTTTTAGCAAGTTAATGAGAAAGTCAAACAAACATTACCTTGAACACCGTAAATTGACCTTCAATTAATAATTTTATGTCTTTTGAAAACAAACAAAAATATACAAAACATGACTGCAGTAATAGAAATATTAAACAAAAGTGACATTAATAATTTACAAAACTTGGACATACAATTATAAATTCAGGTGAAAAATTGATATTTTGAGTTAAAAATAGTATCTTAAACGATTAGTATAAAATCAGTTATGTATTAGGAGGTAATCTAGAATCACATATAATGTTTTGTGCTGCATTCTTCTTAAAGATATAGATTTTGACGTATCATAGAAAGATCTCTGTTGGGTACTTGAAATGTGTTCACAATGTTTTCTCAGTTATAATACTCAATATTAATGCCCTTAAAATTGAATATTATCTTTGGTCAAAAGTATCGGTAAAAAAATAAGGTCCCATGATTAACCATGACAAATTAGGGTTTGTTTTAGGAATTTTTTTTTTCTAGTGTCTTTTCAAATTCATCACAATTGCTGATAATCTGAGTCTGTTTTCATAAACAAACCTTTCAATGATTGTTGTCAAATGCTTGTGTGTGGTCTAATAGCATAAAAAATGGAAAGTTAAAGGGATTCTAAATAAATCGCTTCATGGGATTTTAATCGTCGCCTGCATGGTTATAAACATACATACCGTATCACTTTCTGTTATTTTGGTCGGAGCATTAGGGACAATACCCTCAGATCTAAATGTAAATATTGGGGTTTGATCCTGTAATACAAGTCACTACATACATTAAAGGCCACTTTGAAACACAGTCACTTCATACTATTTGGGCCACTTTGCATGTTTACACTTCGTACAAACCACTTAGTTGAATTGATGCACGGGACAAAAAGTATATTTACGAAAGACTAACAGGAAAGTGAACACATATTATTTTAAGTATGCTGTTTTGGTAAACCATTGCCAACAATATGGGATGAAATTCATGTGATACAAAGTTACTTTGGATAGGCATGTGGGACAAAGTGACTTGGGATAGGCATGCGGGACAAAGTGACTTGGGATAGGCATGCGGGACAAAGTGACTTGGGATAGGCATGTGGGACAAAGTGACTTGGGATAGGCATGTGATACAAAGTGACTTGGGATATGCATATAGGACAAAGTGACTTGGGATAGGCATGTGGGACAAAGTGACTTGGGATAGGCATGTTGGACAAAGTGACTTGGGATAGGCATGTGGGACAAAGTGACTTGGGATAGGCATGTGATACAAAGTGACTTGGGATAGGCATGCGGGACAAAGTGACTTGGGATAGGCATGTGATACAAAGTGACTTGGGATAGGCATGTGGGACAAAGTGACTTGGGATAGGCATGTGAGACAAAGTGACTTGGGATATGCATGTTGGACAAAGTGACTTGGGATAGGCATGTGGGACAAAGTGACTTGGGATAGGCATGTGGGACAAAGTGACTTGGGATAGGCATGTGATACAAAGTGACTTGGGATAGGCATGCGGGACAAAGTGACGTGGGATAGGCATGTGGGACAAAGTGACTTGGAATAGGCATGTGATACAAAGTGACTTGGGATAGGCATGTGATACAAAGTGACTTGGGATAGGCATGTGGGACAAAGTGACTTGGGATAGGCATGTTGGACAAAGTGACTTGGGATAGGCATGTGATACAAAGTGACCTGGGATAGGCATGTGATACAAAGTGACCTGGGATAGGCATGTGATACAAAGTGACTTGGGATAGGCATGCGGGACAAAGTGACTTGGGATAGGCATGTGGGACAAAGTGACTTGGAATAGGCATGTGATACAAAGTGACTTAGGATAGGCATGTGATACAAAGTGACTTGGGATAGGCATGTTGGACAAAGTGACTTGGGATAGGCATGTTGGACAAAGTGACTTGGGATAGGCATGTGATACAAAGTGACTTGGGATAGGCATGTGATACAAAGTGACTTGGGATAGGCATGTGGGACAAAGTGACTTGGGATAGGCATGTTGGACAAAGTGACTTGGGATAGGCATGTGATACAAAGTGACCTGGGATAGGCATGTGATACAAAGTGACCTGGGATAGGCATGTGATACAAAGTGACCTGGGATAGGCATGTGATACAAAGTGACTTGGGATAGGCATATGGGACAAAGTGACTTGGGATAGGCATGTGGGACAAAGTGACTTGGGATAGGCATGTGGGACAAAGTGACTTGGGATAGGCATATGATACAAAGTGACTTGGGATAGGCATGTGGGACAAAGTGACTGGATGAACTGCATATGGTGGTACATAGTGAGTTTGTGGTATGTCATGACCCTCTGGTACGAAGTAATTCTGTTTTGGTACAAAGTTATTAGCAATAAATATGGAAATAAAAAAAAAAAAATTAAACCTTTAGGAAAGTCACATATATACACATCATCCTTAAAAACAGGTTTTTAGAGTAATAAGTTATGAATTTTGTATTATACAAGAATATTATTAACCATGTGTCAAATATTTACACCAAATGTCACTGTGAAGTATTTTACAAGCAACCGATTCAGAACATAAGCAATTAGAATGACAGCTGTAGTTTATTTTCAAAATATGCACAACCCAAATTTAACTAAACTTGGTTTCAGTTCATAACTTGTGTGTTGTTTAACCTGAAATAAACGCCCTCTTTGTTCAAGAGATCATTGTGTTTGCCTTCTTCTATTACTTTACCATGTTGTATAACAACAATCTTGTCAGCATCTTGGATAGTTGATAAACGATGGGCAATGACCAAACATGTACGACCTACGCTGGCTTTGTCAAGTGCTTCTTGTACTACCTATTACAAAATAAATATATATACACATTTAGTATTGATGATAAAAAGCCAAAAGAATCACAAACACAGTTTGTCAGTCAGCAGAGAATGGATGAAACATACCGATTCACTTTCTGTATCTAATGCTGATGTTGCTTCATCCAGTAGAAGTATCTTAGGATTTCTGACTAAAGCTCTGGCAATGGCAACTCTTTGCTTCTGTCCACCTGATAACTGAGTTCCTTTATCCCCTACACCTGTCTCATATCCCTGGTAAAAAAT